TGGCACCGTCTCTGAGCTGCTCTGTCCTCCGCAGGCGTGTAACGAATTCACCACCCACGTGATGAACCTTCTCCGAGAACAGAGCCGGACGCGCCCCATTTCTCCCAAGGAGATCGAACGGATGGTGGGCATCATCCATCGGAAATTCAGCTCCATCCAGATGCAGCTCAAGCAGAGCACTTGTGAAGCCGTCATGATCCTGAGATCGAGGTTCCTTGATGCCAGGTAGGTGCGCGGCTCGTCTGGCTGATGCAGCTGCCCAGCCGGCTGACAAGGGGACCCCGCCTCCTGGGAGCGGTGCTCCGCGTCCTGGCTCCCCCGGGGCCAGGCCTCTGCCGCGAAGCACAGGGGCTGCTCTGCGAAGGGCCGTGTCACCGCAGGAGGCTTGCACGGACACCCTGCGTCTTCCGCATGCTCGTAGAGGGCCCGGAGCGATGTGCGGCGCTGTCGCGGGCGCAGGGAAGGGCTGTGACGGGCACCGCGGCAGGGCTTTGACCTGCTCCAGGGGAAGGCAGCCATGGCGCAGGGTGGGGGGTTAGAAGTATGAACACTCCCGTGGTAGCTGAGGGTTCATCTCATGACTGTGCGCACAGGCAGAGCCTGTGTCCGGGTCGGTATCCCTGGGGGCCCGGTGTGCTGGGTTGGGATTATTTACAAGGGGCCAGATCCCACTGGCTTTGCTCCTCTGGGGGTGTCCGTTGGTCTTCTCCACGCAGAAGGATGCCGGACGCCGGTTCTGAGCTTGCACCAGCCATGCTAGTCAGAACCAGCCGGGCGCTGCTCCCCGGGGGCCTCTGCTGCTCTCTGGGTCTCTCCCAGGCCCGGGATCTCTTTGCTTGCTCGGCCACGGTGAGGAAATCCATGGCTGCCCCAGGGCAGGAACAGGGCCTCCGTCTGTCTCTCCATGGAGACCCCCCCCAGGTCCCTCACACTGTACCAGTTGCAGGAGGTCGGTGGGGGGTGGGCCGAGGAGCTGAGGGATGCGAGGCCTGCGGATCGCGAATGCCGGCTTTCTCCCCACGATGGTGCAGCAGCAGAAACGGCCTGGCTGCCGTGCCGGGTGTGTGATGGAGACCATTAGGCTGCTGTTGAACCGCAGAGCAGGCAGCATTAGTGACCACAGGTGTCATTCCTGCCTGGAGCTGCGCTCATGCCGATTACAGGAACCGGGGCAATTAGGGTGGCTCCCGAGGCTGAGTGATAGATAGGAGAGAACTGAGCGAAACCCGCAGGGCCCTGCGCACTGAGCCCCGTCCCAGCCAGGCCCGCGCGCTGCACCTTGCACCTGGACGCTGTCAGGAAGGAAACAGGAAGGAAATGGGTTCCATCCCGAGGTGGTTACTGGCAGGTGCGGCCAATTAGGCTAATGACCAGCCGTGGCGGAAATGTCTGCAGCGAAAGGGGCCCTTGCGGAGGGATCGCGTTGCAAGGCAAACGAGGCACACGGCGCGGAAGTACGGTGCT